AAGGGAGAAAGAGAAGGAAGGAAGGAAGGAAGGAAGGAAGGAAGGAAGGAAGGAAGGAAGGAAGGAAGGAAGGAAAGAAAGAAAGAGCAACATGCCAAAAAATTTTGTTTATGCCTTTTAAAAAAAAACCTTACAATATAGTTCATATCACCAAAAATCACTGTGATGGAAGCCAGTGATGGTACGTGAAGCAGAAATGGCAAGAGAGAGACAATCATACAATCACACCCAGAGAGAGAGAGAGAGCAAAGAAGGCAGCTGTGAGAGAGAGAAAAAAATCTCATCGGGGTGCTGCAATAGAGCACCCCACAACTGCATCTGCCAGAATTAACTCTAGAGGAAACATTGAAATAGCAATACGTTCACCGCTTCGGTGAACATATATATATATACACACGTATATAGATGATGGAAGGTTTAAGTTGCTGAATTGCTTAATCTCCCACCCCAATGCTTCTTCTTCTTCTTTTTCTAATAGTAGTAGTAATAGTAATAGTAATAGTAATAATAATAATAATAATAATAATAATAATAATAATAATAATAATAATAATAATAATAATAATAATAATAATAATAATAATAATAAAAAATAAAAATAAAAATACAGATTGGGCTATCCAAGTGGCACAACTGTAGGAACCTTTCACTTTAAATTTGAAATTAAAAAAAAAAAGGTATAACTCAAAACTAAACTAAAACTTTATGCTAAATAAAGGCAGTTACTGGGGCAATTTTTGCAACTGGAAAAGAAGTCAAAAGTCCCTTATAAACAGGGTAAGACACCCCAACCCCCGCCATATACAGTAAATGCACTGCAGAATGAATAAACACCCAATAAACCAGTGGTGGGATTCAGCCAGTTCGCACCGGTTCGGTAGAACCGGTAGCTAATTTTTTGTTGCCCAGGCCCAGAATGGACTTCCGGAAGCAGCATCCATGTAGAGAACCGGTTGTTCGCAGATTTGAATCCCACTGCTGAAATAAACCCACCGCAGAAAGAGCAACGTCCAACGTTAGAAGCAACAGTAAACAAAGCAGGAACACACACCGTGCACACTTTTGAACACACACAAAGGTGAGATGACACAAGGAAGGAGACCGCGTGGAGAAGGAAGTCAAGAAAGTGAGTTTGGGGAAAGCCGAGGTCCCAAGAGGGGGAAAAAAATTCAAGAAGGGGGTAAAAAATGGTGGAACAGGAAGATAGCACTTCAAAGAAGTGAGGTGTGGCTTGGATACAATTCCTTGTTCTTCATGTCACCTATGTCAGGGGTCCTCAACCTTGGGCACTTTAAGACTTGTGGACTTCAAATCCCAGAATTCCTCAGCCAGCTTTGCAAATATAATCGTTGGGACTTCAACCCAACTAGTGTACCACGGTCTGTGAACCCAGTTTAAATTTTCCTGCTGACTCATGAGCACTAGAGAGCTGCATTAACACAGCATAAGACAGCTGGGAGGGACCTTGGAGGCCCTATAGTCCAACCCCCTGCTCAAGCAGGAGACCCTACGCCATGTCAGACAAGTGGTCTGTCCAGTCTCTTCTTGAATGCCTCCAGTGATGGGGCACCACAAGCCGTTCCACGGCTTGATTGTTCTCGCCATTGTGACATTTCTCCTTGGTTCTAGATTGCTTCTCTACTAGGTTAGTTTGATTGCACTGGTTCTTGTCTTGACTTCTGGTGTTTTGCCCCCCTCATCTTTGTGGCAGCCCCTCAAATATCCTCAAGAGTTGTAGGAGGGGAGAATAGGACGGGGCAATGGATGCAAGCGTATTCCCTATGGGGAGCTTCAGGGAGCACCGGGTTTGGGGGCAGGAGGCCTCAAAGTTGAGGAGGAAGTGAGGAGACAGATGGAGATGATGGAAGACAGAGCAGAGCGGAGCAAGCAAGCATGAGTTGAAGGCGCCAAGCAAGACAAGGACTTACCTATCAACACCTCCCACTTCCCGCTGGCTTGCGTCACTTCGTAGGCGCAGCGCATCTCGCTCAGAGCAACCCCGCCCAGGATGAAAACGATGAGGCGAGGACCGCTTCGGTATTCCCCGGGAGCCTTGTTCTTGTGCCAGTGTCCGTAGCGGGCACTGAAGACCAGGATGAAAAGGAAAAGAAAAGAAAAAAATTAGATCACGATTTGGAAGAGACTTGGTGGCGCAGCAGTTAGAATGCAGCATTGCAGGCAAACTCTGCCCACCGCCAGGAGTTCGATCCTGACCGGCTCAAGGGTGACTCAGTCTTCCAAGGTCGGTAAAATGAGAACTCAGATTGTTAAGGGGCAAGATGCTGACTCTGTAAACCGGTTAAGAGAGGACTGTAAAGTACTGTGAAGCAGTATATAAGTCTAAGTGCTATTGCTACTGCTACTGCTACTGCTGTCTGTCTGTCTGTATCTCTATCTCTATCTAATCTATATATCTATGTATCTATGTATCTATGTATGTATCTATGTATGTATCTATCTATCTATCTATGTATCTATCTATGTATCTATCTATGTATCTATCTATCTATCTATCTATCTATCTATCTATCTATCTATCTATCTATCTATCTATCTATCTATCTATCTATCTATCTATCTATTTTACAAACAAATAAACAAGCAAAAATGTCCACAAACATTCTGTGCTTGCAGGCCTCCAATTCAGACTTAGTTTAACTTAGACCTAATTAAGTTTAATCTAGGCTTCATTTAAACCTAATTATGCTTCCCTAGACCCGATACCAGACAGGGCACTCCCTTCTTACCTGACTGCTGTAGTGCTGAAGGAAGCAGCTGACCGGGTGGAGATGCATGGGTAATGTTTGGTGTCCAGTTTGTCCTCCACAGCATCCTAGAAATAAGTATGTAAGTAAGTAAGTAAGTAAGTAAGTAAGTAAGTAAGTAAGTAAGTAAGTAAGTAAACAAATAAACAAACAAATGAAGGAAGGAAGAAAGAAAGAAAGAAAGAAAGAAAGAAAGAAAGAAAGAAGGAAAGAAGGAAAGAAGGAAGGAAGGAAAGAAGGAAAGAAAGAAAGAAAGAAAGAAAGAAAGAAAGAAAGAAAGAAAGAAAGAAAGAAAGAAAGAAAGAAAGAAAGAAAGAAAGAATTTGCACATCTGGAGCTCCTGCAAGTGATCAATAGTGTGTATTAGACACAAAGCAAAGAGGTCCATGCATTCAAGAGCTATCCTTCATTACGAACCTCCATGATGTCTTTGACCACCGGAGTCCATCGAGAGAGCTGGTAGGTCTGTTCACTGATACGTTCCTTCCGTTCTGGCTTGCTTCTACGACGTAAGGTCGACTGGACGCAAGAGAGAGAGAAAATAGATTCAGAGGATGTTCACCAGGCTTATACACATGGAAGAGTAAACTGGAGCCTTCTAGCTTTGGGGACCTGTGTAAGATTGGAGATGCTGGGAGCTGAACCTCAAAAACTAGAAGATACCAACCTCTAGTTACAAGAACTTCTCTCCATCTACCCTGTGGTCCTCTCTCTCATCTGTAACGCTTAGCCATTTAGAAGAGAATAAAGTTGAACTGTGGGATCCCTGGTGCTTCCCGAGCTTGGTGGTTTTCTTGCAGACGTTTCATGACCCAACTAGGGAACATCATCAGGGCTAGAAGGCAGTGGGGCACAAGGAGTGGAGGTGAAGAAGGAAGGTGGGGACGAGGAGGAGGACTGTGGGGTCCTTGGTGGTCTCTTAGCTGGCAGACATTTCATGACCCAATTAGGTAACATCATCAGTGTCAGAAGGGAAAGAAAGCAAACTCCATTCCCCTCTCGCACTGATGATGTTCCCTAGTTGGGTCATGAAACGTCTGCAGGAAAACAACCAGGCTCGGAGAGCACCAAGGACTTAGCCATTTGCTAAACAGATAATTCTGGTTTTTCTTTTTTATGGAAGTGTAAGTTACAAAGGTAACTGCCATACATACAGTACATACCAGGCTCTCAAGATATCAACTACCCTGAAAGTCTAACTGCTACCATTGCAAAAAAAATATTGTTTAATTACAAGCTTGAGAGATACTTACCCCAAAGATGCTTTTTCACGAGGCAACTGGACTTTCTTGTTTTTCTTTGAAGTCATTTCGCTTCTCGTCCAAGAAGCTTCTTCAAGCTCTTACTGGATGGTGAGGAATGGAAGAGCTGAAGAGTCAGAGCTGAAGAAGCTTCTTGGATGAGAAGTGAAATGTCTTCAAAGAAAAACAAAACAGTCCAGTTGCCTCGTGAAAAAGCATCGTTGGGATAACTATGACCTGGATGACTGAGACTCTCCATAGACATTAAGAGATACGTTGTTTCCCAAGGAGTAGGTGGAACCTTTCTTGGTTCCATAGACCAAAAGACCCTTGAATTGACAGTTGAGTTCTCCTTCAACTATTCCCAAGTCTGGAATAAGAGTCCTAGCAACAGATACCTGAAACTATGGTCAAACACAAGAGAAAGCCTTGGGGACCTTAGAAGAAGGTGCCAAGCAATACAATGGAGCCTGCTGGTAGACTTTGTTCTACCACATCATAATAATAATAAAGTTGAAAGGGACCTTGGAGGTCATCTAGTCCAACCCCCTGCTCAGGCAGAAACCCTACACCATTTCAGACAAATGGCTGTCCAATCTCTTCTTAAAAACTTCCAGTGTTGGAGCATTCACCACTTCTGGAGGCAGGTTGTTCCATTGGTTAATTGTTCTAACTGTCAGGAAGTTTCTCCTTAGTTCTAAATTGCTTCTCTCCTTGATCAGTTTCCACCCATTGCTTCTCGTCCTGCCTTCAGGCACCTTGGAGAATAGCTTGACTCCCTCTTCTTTGGGGCAGCCCCTGAGATATTGGAAGACTGCTATCCTGTCCCCCCTCATCCTTCTCTTCGTTAAACTAGACACACCCAATTCCAGCAACCGTTCCTTATATGCTTTGGCCTCCAGTCCCCTAATCATGTTTGTTGCTCTTCTCTGTACTCTTTCTAGAGTCTCAGCATCTTTTTTACATCGTGGTGATCAAAACTGGATGCAATATTCCAAGTGTGGCCTCACCAAGGCCTTGTAAAGTGGTATTAGTTCTGCTTCTGCTTCTTACTTCCACAGTTGGGACCAAGCTGTCCAAGCAGAGCGTGGATTGACCTGGTCACTTCTCCAGAGCTTTTGAAAGAACGTGGCAGGACTTACGTCTGTTATGATGGGCACCCCAAGGTGTGCCATATTCGTGATGATCTCACTGTCCTCAGGAGGGATCTGAGCATGCTGGATCAGCTTGTTCAGGTTCTCCTCGGTGATCCCTGGGGGAGGGAGAGACCAAGCATACATGTTCTAGGAGAGGGAGTCGGCACACATGCATGCCAACAAACAACCGTTGAGTGGCCCGTTTTCAAGTGAAGAAGAGAACAACGTCAACACAACGTCGCGATGGGTCAGACACGACTTCGCAACTAGCAACAACAACCAATTTCCCTCCCAGGGACCCATGGAAGCAAAGGATTGGGAAAATGCACACCACATATCCTCAGGTCTCCCCAATGGCTTTGAGCCTAAATAAGAGTCTTTCCTTACCGTTCTTGAGAATGATGTACAGTAAGATGATCCGGAT